TGAAGGCCTGGCATTGTCCCAGAAGCCTCGGTGCAGTGTGAGGTTGGAGCCCAATGCAGCTTTAAAGTTTTTTTCCCAACCTCCTCACTGTCCGACTCTGCTGCCAACTCTGCTGGCCGCCGGTGGGCCACAACAGTCTTACCTCTTATTCTTTATCTTTTGCATACATAGATTTAAAATCACTCTATTCCATTCCTTGTCTATTACCTAAACGTGTGGAGTTAATCTATCTGTTGGAGAAGAGTAGGAAAAAAAACTTTAAAGCTGCATTGGGCTCCAACCTCACACTGCACCGAGGCTTCTGGGACAATGCCAGGCCTTCACAGCTTTTCAGAAAGCCAGGAGAGTAGGGGCTTGCTGGATCTCAGAGGGAAGGTGCTTCCCTAGGGCAGGGACCACTACCAAGGTGGTTCTCTGTTTCAGTCCTATAAGGAAGGAATGGACCTGGAGTGTGCCCACTCAGTCAGATCTTGTGGAAGGAGCATATTGGAGACACATTCTTATCAGTGGAAAATGGGCCCACCACACACATTGATGGCAAAAGAGATGGCACTTAGATGTTTGGGACAGTTAAGATAGACAGACAGACAACTGGCTTGGCTACTCCACAGGATTGTTAACATGGGAATAAAAAAGCACAACGCTGTTATATGACTGGGATTAAAATTCTCATGTGGAAATGCCTTACATTTCTCCATGTGACTTGCTGATCCAAATGAAGTAATATATTATCTCCACTGGTTCTCCTTACTGTACAGTTCCTTATGAGCATTTTACCATATTTTCATACCAGTTCATTGGGCTTCCCTCCAAATTTTCTTCAGCAAGATTTCTGACTTTCTGCCGTCTTCCCCACAGTGTTTTACCTGCATTGCTGCAGCTAATTGCCTCTTATATTACTTATCCTTATTTTTATTGGTCAATCCTGCTCTTTTACTCAGAGCTGCCGAGGAAGGGCCATATTGCTTCCTTGTGGAGAGAGTAGCTTCTTCCACTCTTAAGTGAGATTATACAAAGCCTAATGAGGGGGTATCTCTGAGAGTGGGAGCAGTGGGTTCCAGCACTTGTCTTGGTTGAATGACAACATTTCTGCGATAGGCGGATCCACATTACCCAGGCAACTCTGCAGTACCTGAATGAAGACTATGAAGTAGAGCCAGGACACGGGGGTGAGCGCAATGCTTACCTGAAGGAGCATAACATTGAGACCTTCTTCATTGTGGGCTGCAGCCAGAAACGGGTAAGTCCTGGGAGCTGGGCGGAGGGACATGACTAAACTTTGCTTGGGGGGCAGGAAGTGGGAACAGATCATCGTAACCCAGGAGACAAATATTCTGGTCCCTGGAGCTGAAATAACAGAGGCTATGGAACAAGACATTCCTACTCTAGGGAGTAATGTCTTAAAACACCTGCTTCCATTTGTTGTTCTTTCTGGTTTGTACCTCCATATTCCTCACTTTCTGCCAATAGAAAGAAGAGAAAGCAATATTAGCCAAGCTGCAGCGAGCCCAGGCAAATTCCACCGAAGGGCTGGTACCCCGTTGGGTCCCCGAGCGCTCGTTTCCACGGAACAAGGACTCTAAGGCGTTACGACAGATGGTAAGTCTTGGGTTTGCTTGAGACGACACCTGGGAAGAGAGGTAGGATGGCATAACGTATTATTGGATCCTGCTTTGTTCTTTCATTCCTGCTAAAAATGGTGTAGAGCAGGGGTGTCAAACTGGATTTCTTCAAGGACCAGATCATTATAGTTCTCTTCTGCAGGCCGGGGGTGGGGGGAGTGGGGAGGAGATGGGACGGATGCCTCCTGCAGCAGTTTACCAGCCAAAATGGACCATGCACCTCATTTTTGGCCCCTCCGGCCTCCAGCAGCACTCTGCTGTGCAAAAAGGCCTCTGCGCGGCCTGTTTTTGGCCCGCAGAGTGCTGCTGGAGGCCGAAAATGGAACGCACAGGGGCTGCATGTGGCCTGTTTTGGCTGGCAGAGTGCTGCTGGAGGCCAAAAATGGAACGCACAGGGGCTGCATGTGGCCTGTTTTGGCTGGCAGAGGCACCATGGGCTGGTCCTTTGATATGTCCAGGTCAGCCCTGTGGGCTGGATTTAAGCACCCCGTGGGCCGAGTTTGACAGCCATTCTGTTGAGCATATCTTTCCTGGCATTGAGCTAAAAGGAGGATAATCCCAAATTTGAGATAAGCAGAAGGAATAGATGAAAAAAAGGCAGGAAAA